AGGGGCGGCTCCCCCAGGGCCCAGCTCCATCCTTGGCATGGGGTAATCGGGGGAAGATGATGCCTTGGGCTGTGCCCTCCCAGGCTCCCAGGCTGGCAGGAGCCAAAGCTGGTGTCAAAGCCAGGTGGCTCTTTATCTAGGCCAGAGAAGACCTAAAACCAAAAGGAACTTCCTGGAAGAGGCAGTCATGTCCTAGTCCGAAAGCAAGAGAAGGGGTGGGGAAGAATTCCAGAGAGGAAATCCAAGGCCAGGAGATGAGCTGGCCCCTCTTAGACCCTCTGTGGGTCTTGAGTGCGAATCCTGACCTGGTAAGGAAACCAGATTAGGAGGCTAACAAGGGGGTGGGGGAGGGGCTGCTCACTCCACTCCATCTCCCAGGTGGGTGATGCCGGCCTGTACACCTGCCTGGCCGAAAACCCTGCAGGAGAAGTTGAGAAGAGCTTCCGGGTCAAGGTTCAAGGTAGGGGGCGTGGGGGACCGGGTGAGAGGCAGGATGGAGGCCGCAGAAGCAGGTCCATCTTCCGTGTCCCTTTGTCCCCCAGCGCCTCCGAACGTGGTTGGGCCCCGGGGCCCCCGTGCTGTGGTGGGCCTGGCCCCGGGGCAGCTGGTCCTGGAGTGCTCCGTGGAGGCAGAGCCAGTGCCCGAGATCGAGTGGCACCGGGACGGCGTCCTGCTGCAGGTGGGTGCGGGGTGAGGGGTCCCGGGAGCAGGGTTACACCCCGTGCTGAGGGTCAGCTCCCAGCAGCACCTCTGCCCGCCTGCCCGCCTGCCTGCCTGCCGCGTGGATGGGGCACAGAGGCATGATGGGAACTCCCACCAGGGCATCAAAGCACGAAGTACTTTTCCTCCCACGGTACCTGCCAAGTCCCACCCAGGGGCTGTGTGACCCAAGCTGGCAACTGAGGCCAGCTGTTAGCTAATTAAGATTAATAGAGACTTTGCCAGAAAGCCACGCAGACATCCAGGTGCAGAGAACAAAGAAAGTTTATTGCTGGGAAGGGGACCAGCAAGACCCTTCTCACAGGAGAGAAAGGAGAAGCAGCGCCGGCTGTTGTCTGGGGTGACCTATATCACCTAGGAGGTCTAGGAGGGGCTGGAAGGGGCTGGAAGGGGCTAGGAGGCAGAGACCCCGGTGTGGACGCGTGGGCCGGGGGCTTCATCATGGTGGACTAGGATTGATGGCTGCTGCCCAAATAGTAGACAAGGGTCCTGCAGCTGCCCAGAGCTGAAGGTCACTGTAAGGGGCTCTTGCTGCCTTCTATGGTGG